ATGTTCAGAAGACCACGATCGATCAATTTTGAACGATCCGCGCGGTGTCCGAAAGCAGCGCGCAAGCCGTCGCGGCACGAGCCTGCTGCAGTCTCGGAAGCGCGTGATGTCTGTCATGCATTCGTCGGCCGGCAAGGGGCGGAGTCACATGACGTTTCACACTCGGGTCCTGCTGATGGAGAGCGTGTTGCGCATGGAGCAGCCCTAGGGAGAGACGCAGATTGATCTGATCGGTAAGCAGACACAGGTTGGCATCACCCAAGCATACTAATATCATGTGTGCGTGTGCACCCCAGGAGGGACGCGCACGCTGAGACACTTTATGGTGTTTGTTCGGTGGCGTTTTTTTCTGGCAGTGCCGCTCGAGGAATGATCTACTACAATATGTGCTTACTGTATATTCGGGTCGGACGTGCGCTCCCAAGAGGGGCGCATCGTACCAGAGGCTCGGAACCCAACGCAAGACCAAGGCCCCGACAGCGCCCGAAAGACAAAGGAGGGCGTCTGCGCCCAACCCCGTCCGCATCAGCGGGCGCGCTGTCCAAGCGCCCGCCCCCCCATAGAGATTTAATCGGGTTTCCGTTTGCGGGGCGGACCTTAAGGTGATACATTCCTTCAATTAGAACGTTATTTCATTCTGGAGAGTGGATGGGGCTTGGTTTGGGCGATTCTGCTTGGGACTTCCTCAAAATCTGCACGGTGTGGCCCCTGGTGTGGCTTGGTTTGGCCTGGTTTGGCCTGGATTGGCCGTGCGCCCCGCATTAGGCACCCTCAGAATTTGTTCGGTTTGGTTCCTGATTTGGTCTGGTTTAGGCCGGGTTTGGCTTCAGACGTCCTCTAAATATGCTTGGTTTTGCCCTGGTTTGGCCTGGCCTGGAGTTGGTTTCGAGTGAGACGTCCTCAATATTTGTTTGGTGTTGCCTCAGTTTGGTCTGGTTTGAGCCTGGTTTCGCTTGGAAAGTCCTCGTTTGTTGCTTGGTTTGGCCCTGTTTTGGTTTCGTTTCGGCATAGTTTCTTTTCAGACGTCCTCAGTGGTTGCTTGTTTTCTCCATCGTTTAGCATGGTTTTGGCTCCGTTTCGTTCGAAACGTCCTGAACATGTGCGGTGCTGGTTCGAGCTGGCGGACTGCACACGATAAATCATGGAATGTCTGTACGGTTGGGTCACATCCGTTATGGTCGCCTTGCGGACTCAACACGCAGTGGGATGTGGCACGTTTCCTTGGGCATGAACGGTTAACTCGCACACGGCATGGTGGGCGTGTATAAAACGAAGTAATGGCACGGTGTCTGGTGTCATGAATATTTAATGTGGTCCACATGTAACACGACTGCGCTACACACTGGCGGGCGGCATGGGTGTGGATATTCCCAACACGCTGTGGATCGGCATGGGCGTGCGCGGCGACGTTGGGAGAAAACCATTCCGAGGCTGTAGTATCTCTTTCTGCGCCCCACAGGATCGGACAGCGGCGTGGATGTCGCGACGTTTCATGTGGGGAGGGGCGACCGGCTCCCAGCGCCGACGACTCCTGTCCATCAAGATAGCCGCGTCCGCCCATCGAGGGTGGGGTGCGCTTTGCCGCCGGGATCCAGCTATTCGTTGGCTTCCCGCTTGCCGAGAACAAATCCTCAGAGCGTGAATTACCTACCCCGCTTTCGCTTCCAGGCAAAACCAAGTCATACCACGCGCCTCCTCGTCAAGCGGCCTGACCAGTACAGGCCGTGGTTTGGCATCGCTTGGTATCTCTTGGAAGCGAGGGTGGTCAAAAGCGAGGTCGGTTTGGTTTGCCCCTTCCGACTGGCGCAAGCCTCTGCGCGGCGCGGGAGGGGCAGCAGCTCCAAGAGGGCCAGCGCCGCGACGGCAGCTCGGGCGGGGAAGCGGCGGGCACGGCGGGGGCGCGCGAGCATGGGCCGGCACCGTACGCCCATTCGCCAGCGGTCGTCCCAGCCAGCGTCGCACCGCGAGCGGTGCCTCGCTCGCGGCATCTTCGGTGCCAGGGTGGGTGGCGCCTTGCATGTGGCACAAAGTACGCCCCACGACGCCTAGCCACATCGGAGCTCATCGCGCCGTCTGGCCGGGGCTGGAGGGCAGGCAGCAGCACGCAGGGCCAACTCGCTGTGCACTTACGCCCGCCCTTTCTTTCACGACGTTGGCCCTGGAGTTGCAGGGTCGTTCGCGGGGGCGTGAAGAGGATCACGCCCTGGGCGCGAGAAGACTATCGCGCTCCGCTCTGCGGTCTGGACTGGAGAGCTGTCCTCCGCCAAGGGGGTGTGCACGAGCGTGCACCGAGCCGCGCTCCGCCGGGTGCGGGGCAGCCGGCTACGGTAGGTTTTCGTCGTGTCGACCAGCGGCGACCCCAGCGCGGACGTTCAAGGTTGAACGCCGCCGGCGACCCAGAATCGGTCGATGTTGAACGATCGGACGTTGCGGCAGCGGCGGATCGTTCAAGGTTGAACGATCCCTGCGGTGTCAAAAACCAACGCTGGGGTCGGCACGACACGAACCTGCCGTACCACTGTTGGTCGGCAGCGAGCTGGGTCCAGTGAGCGGTCGGGCTGGCGGCGGGACGCGACCGTAGCCAATGCGGGCGGAAACAGAAGTCGGGGGCAACGATGGGGGGGATAGGCATAGGGGGGGATGCGTCGACCCCCGGTCGCCCATTGGTCGCCGATAGGGGCCCGATAGCCCCAATTTGCCCAGGAAGGTGCGGAGTCACTATCGGAGGGCCAATCGCCGATCTTTCTGCGATATATATATATATATATATATATATATAGATATCGACGACTCCAGGTCTATTTTTTTCCCCCCCTATGCCTATCCCCCCCCTTATCGTTGCCCCTCAAGGAGGGGCAAGACGGGAGAAGGGAGCGGCCGCGGAACAGCCAGAAAGCTCTCAGATCAGGAGGGGAGCGAACACACAGACACAATCAACCCTCAACTCTCAGGATCCAGATGGGAACATGTTGGAAGTGGGGGGAAACGAACACCTCATAAGGATGGGAAAATGCCAGGGATCCTGGGATTCGTGGCCATCTACTTGTGTGTCCCGGGGCTCCTTATATCAGACCACGTTGATCGTCGAGCGGCGCCGGAGGCCTGGCGCGTGAGCTCGGCGGTGGCGCGGCAGAAGAGCTGCGGCCGGGTGCACGTGCCGACCGGCCTTGCGCAGGGGGCGGCCTCTGGCGCGCGGCTCTCGGAAGGCGCAGGGGCGCGTGAGCCGAGCACGTGAGCCGCCGCCACGGTCGCATCATCGCACGCAGCGATCGACAAGGCAGGCCGCGCACCAGGGGTCGCTGCTGCTCAGGGTCGCACCTGCGTGCAGCCGGAGCCGTCGTCGAACGTGCCTCCCGCGTGCTCCGCGGCGGTCGGCTTGCGGCGCGCGATGCGCTCGTCGGTGAAGTGGGCGCGACGGAGTGTCTTGACAGGAATGCGGCGGGCGAAGCCGAAGCCGCCCACGACCAGAGCAGGGGCGAGGGAAGCCAGGTTCTTCTCGACGGCCTTGGCGAGCGCGTCGATCTCCATCGCGCTGGCGTCGCGCAGCACCTCGAGACCAGCAGAGCGATGCCGGCACGGTTTTGTTGCAGGCCTCGGCGGCCGGAGAAGGCTCCCAGGCGCGGGCGATGCGGCTCGATGCGGATCCCGACCTTCCCCACGCCGTCGTCGCGCGTGCATCGCCGACGTCGCCGATGCATCGCCGGTGCCTCGGCGCTGCGGCGCGATCCTCGGGCCCCAATCTGCCCTGGCCCCATGTCGGAGGTTTCTGGTTGGTCAGAGGTCGAGCATTTTGGGAAGGCACCCGAGAGCAGGATCCGAGCGGAGGCGGGGCGCGGACGGGCCGCAGCGCGGAGGGTCCGAGCCGGCGGCGCACTCGCTCTGCCGGCCCCGTGCGGCTCCACGCTTCCTGCCGCCTGCTGCGCCCCCCCCTTCCCTCCTCTTCTGCGGTAGCACCTCATGGGAGCCTTGCATTTCCTCGAAATTTCTGGCAGCATGCATTCGGCACGCCGGCATTTGAGCAAACTTGAGGAACCTGAGCAAACCTGAGGAACTCGCAAAAAAAAACCTCTGGAGTGCATGCGCGTGTGCTAGCGCCTGGCAGTCGAGGAGGACGCGCCGACAGGAAGGTGTGGGAGGCTCCCATAAGTTGCCACCGAACCTGCCCCCTTCTCTCGGGCCGGACGACAGGGTAGGGTAGGGAAGGGGGGTGTACGACATCTGCTGCATGCAGCTGATTTCCGCCCCGCCGCCAGGCCCAGTCCTCGATACGTGGGCGCCTCCTGGCGCCAGGAAAACCAGCTACGTTCGGACGGTGCCAGGACGAGGATCAATCCGTTCCAGAGCGTTCCGGAACGCTCTCGGAGCGTTCCAGAGTTCTCTGAGAAGGCCCCGGCGCCCGAGGCATTGTCCAGAGCCGCCACATCTCAGAGATTCTCGATGTATCCTCACCCGATTTTATCCTCGTCCTGGCTTCGTCTTATACGTGAGCTGATTCTCTACCCTGCCCTCTGCCATCCTACCATCCCACCCTTTCGTTCCCCCCCTTCTCGCTGCCTCCCTGGCTGTGTTCAAGAGGGGGTGGGGGGAGATGGGCGGGCATGGGCGGCGTTCTGGGAAGGAATGGGGGCTCAGAGTGGATCGGCAGCCTCTGAGCAGGCCTCTTGGAAGGCGGGAGGGATTCTAAAGGCTCCCTGCCTTTTTGAGGGGGACAGAGAAACTTCACAACAATGAAATGCTCGGAGGTTCGCGCGGATTTCTTTGATCGGCGCTGGGCCTTCCTGGAGGCGCCTCCGGCCCCGCCCCTGGCGCGCTCCGCGCGCCAGGGAGGGGGCGTTCAGCGCAGATCTTGGAGAACCGCGCGGACCTCCCAAAGTCTATGCCTGTGCCGTGTCTTCCTCTTCGCCTCTAAGCAGGCCCCCCCCCCCCCTCTTCGTCAAACCCTTCTTGCGCGCCTCCAACCTCATCTTCGTCTTCGCGCTCGTCTCCCCAATGGCCTCGAGGATTGGAACTCGGCCGTGCCCGGCCCAGAGTTCACGGAGTCGTCGAAGTTCCTGATGGACCGGGGCTTCGGCGGGGGAAAGGCGGAGGAGGAGGAGGAATGGGAGCAGCTGCGGTGCTCTCCTCGGCTCCTCTTACAGTGAGCGGCTTGAACAAGGAACACTTACTTTTCAAAAGGGGCTCTGTCGTTCCTCAGGCTTGCATGCGTTATTTGTCGCTCCCTTGGAAAAAGGGGCTTCGTTCCTTATTTATCGTTCCTAGTGGCATGTGCAGGGGTCGAGCACACGACGGCCCACAGTAGGGTTTCCGCCCCTGCGTCGAGGTCAAAATTGCCATTGATGCAAGATCTCCTCCACCCACCACCAATGAACCCTCTCCGACAACCGACTCCTTCTAGTCTTGCATGTGCAGAGTCAGACAGTATTGGCTGGCCTCCCAAGCAGTCAGTAGTAGCATGTACACTGAGGGCATTACATAACGTGGCAAACGCATGCGGCAAGCGCAAGCTGAAAGGAGCTCGTCCTCCTCTTCCACACCCCAATAAACACCAAACCCAATCCCTAAGCAGAGTGGTGCAGGGAGTTCGGCGGTATTTGACAGCGTTGATGTACCAGACTGGCGCTGCAAGTGCACGCTGGCCTAGTACGATTGGGACAGAGCGCAAGCCTGGTGTGCGCTGCGTCTTCGCCTGGGCGCGTGGCCTGAGTATAGGCTCCCATAGTGCTGTCGTCGATGGGTAGTGCTGAGATTGATGCTGCATGGGAGTTCGGCGTTTCTTTGCTGTCCCGAGAGGGTGGTCCATTCGTTAAGTATGCGCGGGGCAAGTTAATGTGATGGTCGAATGGTTTAATGGGATGCGCCCCTTGAAGGCGGAGGTGTGGTGCAGTTGCTTCAAAATCTGTGGTTGTTGCTATACTTGTCGTGCAGAGCTCGCAGAGTTCTGTCGGCATGTTGTATGTGCCCTCGAGTGGTACTAGACTTGCTGGATTGCGCGGGCTACACTTGCACCAACTGCTGTTGAGTCCCAAGGAGACTTCTGTGACCAATGTGGGTAGGTGCGTTAGTTTGTGTGCGACGTGGTTGTGCTTTAGGTACTGATGGAGGACCATCGTCATCATAATCACTTTCGCAAGTTTTCTTTATATCACCACCATAACCACCACCACCATCATGCTCAAGACCGCCATGGTCGATGTTATTACCACCGCCGTCGTCATCATCGTTGACTTCGCCGTTGCTGTCGCCATCGTCACCCTCACCACCACCATCATCAGCATTGTCGTCATCCGCGTGGTCGCCGACGTCGTCGTCGCCATCATCACTTGTCCGCACAAGATATGGAGCTACAGGGAGGGTTTTCGCGTCATTGGGCCAGTTGACTTTTGCCAACAAGTTGCTGGTGGTTGGCCTGGATGTCCTCGCGTTTTCTCTAGCATGCGAGCTGGCATATTCCAAGAGTTCGAACCGACTCCTCCGCCAAGGCCTGGCCTCGCGGCACCCCTCGGGTATTGCTGTTTCCTGTTCTCGCAGTACTCCTGCGAGATAAATCGTATCACAGTTTGCCAGGCGGTGTCGAACCTCAGCCGCCGCCTCATGCAAACAGCATTCTGCGGTTGCACATGCGTTATGATGTGTGGGGCGTGTTTTGTAGCAGCCACTCTCAAACGCATACGGCTCCGCTCGTGCGCGCGCCGCCGCCCGCGCATGTCAAGAGCACGCAAGAACCAGAGGTGTTGCAATCATTTCAAGGCATGGTTATGCAAACAGTACCTCGACGGTTCGGGTTGTTTGCACAACAAGTTGCCAGATTCCTGCGCGTGCGCACTCGCTGAAATCTCGAGATCCCATCGCATGCGTTTAGCCCTTCTGGCAAAAGAGAGCATGCGGACCGCAGACGACCTCATGCCGAGAACATTCAAGAGCACCCGCCAGGTTATCCAATCACGCAATGCGGGCCACACGCGCTTTTGTCCACGCGAGCCGTCGCAACCCTGTCAAGCACATGTCGCCCCCCGAAGCATTTCAACACACAGGTGATCAAAACACCCTTCCCAGAATCTAGCCTATCATCTGTTCGCGCGCGCTTCTACTTCAACCTCCTCAGCACCATCGTCATCATCATCGTCAAGCCTGGAAGTCGCCAGCCGTCATCGCCATCATCATCACAAGTTGGAATATATCATCATCGTCGTCGGCGCCCTCGTCATCATCGCCACCACCATCATCATCGTCGACGTCGCCGATGTCCTCGTCACCATCATCACTCGCCCACCCGAGGCATGGATCTTGAGGAGCAGAGCCCGCGCGTTATTGGGCCTACTCATCATCCTTAGCGATCATCAGAGAGCAGCTTCACTTAAGCCCACTCGAGTTTTGCAAACGTGCTCCTGGGTGGGTGGGTGGGATGCTTGCTCGAGCGTGGGGGTCTGTCTCGCGCGGCTGCAGGTTGGTGAATTCCCCTTCACAGAAATAATAAGTTCTACCACCATCCTCCGCCTGGACTTATCGAGTCCCCGGGAATCTATGCAAAACACATATGATTCTGACCCAAGGTCCATCCTACCTGTGAATTCATACTATCCCAGCCAGGCCGGTATCGCCCCCCCCCCCCCCCGCCATCCTCTGCAACAAGTTCTATGCGCGCACACTCGTTTATCACGCGTCGTAAGTGTTTAAGAATCCCTTGCAAAAAAAACTGGACGAAGTGCGCACGCGCGCGTCGTCGCGCGCGCATACCGAAATCCTTCACAAAAACTCGGTTTCGGAAGGGTTTCAAAATCGACGTCCGGAACATTTAAAAACAAAAAACACCGGTTTCCGCAACACGGATATTCAACAAAAGCGTGCGCGCTTTTTGCGAATGCTTGAGACAACCATCGGTCGTTCTCAAATTTTTCATAACATGCTACCAAGCGGGCTTCGCGCGCGCATGTCGAAATCGTTCGACCGCCCTCGCGCGCGTGCTGGGATGCCACGATCCGTGCCAAATCACACCGTGCGGGTCACTCTCGCGCGGCGCGCTGTGCCCCGCGCGCACGTCGAAGTCCTTCCAAAAACCTTCGTCACCGGAGCGAAGATGCCGTCATCGTCGCCGGCGTGATCGGCATCGGTGCCGTCACTGGCTGCCCCGTCGTCGTTGTCAGCATCGTCGCCAGCATCGCTATGATCATCATCGTGTCTGCCGTTGTCGACGTCGCCATGATACCGCGCCCGCCCAAGTCGCCGACTCGCACTGAAGTGCCCGCCGGGATGTTCCGAGCGGTCAGCGCCACCGCATTCGCGTCGGCCGCGCCAAACTAGCTGGCCGCTGCACGCGCGAGCATGCGCGGCCTTGCGCGGCCGCAGAGATCCACCAGCCAACACCCAGCACTCATCGCAATCGCTCCCGGATGGGTTTTGCAAGCCAAGTTGCGGGTGCGTGGGTGGGATAATTGCACGAGCAGTGGAGCTGATAACTTCCAAGTTCGGCAAGTGAGCTGCAGCCTTTAAGTTGCACCACGTAATGTGCACATCGAGCGTGGACGAACCCATTGTCCGTTTTTTGGTGTATTCTATGTCGTGGCCTTTCGGGCCATCACGCCTCCGTGCCTGGGTTGTGGGCGCGCGGCGCAGTGGAAACATGGTCAAGAGTACCGCGTTTGTTTTTGAACGTGGGCGAAGCCCTCTGTGCTAGAGGGTCGTTCCCTAGCCACTCACGCTAAATATGTTTGCTGGCGGTATGTGTTGCAGGAGCTCGTATCGTTGTGCCGGACTGTTCAGCACCGCTACGCTCTGGACTGTGGCTCGGCCAGGGCAGGACGAGGAGCAACACTAGCTCGAGCTGACTCGCGCGCCAGCTGGGCGGCGTGCAGTGGCTCGCCGAGGAGAGGCCTCGGCCAGAGCCCGGCCTGGAGTCGCTGCAGCCCTTTTGGCCTCAAGGGAGACGGGCCCCTGCTCCCGGCGGGGGCCCACACGTGGAGCACATGGCACGGCGGCCGGCGCTGACGGCGCGGCGAGCGGCCTCTGGCGCGTGCCTGGCAGCACTCGGGCCTGGGCGCCGGGGCCTCGGCCGTGCCGCCGCTGGCCGCTGCGCCGTGTCTCGGGGAAGCGTGAGATTCGAGTTCGCCGGAGTTCGGGTCTGTCGATGTTCTTTGACGAGCTCGTCATGAGCCTTTGACGGTCCAGTGTTCGTGGGACGTGTCTGCAGCGGGAGTTCGCGTCAGACCTGTTCAGACCGGGTCTCGGTGTCGTCAGTTTCCTGACGGCCCCGTCGTGCCCCCCCGAGTCCCCCGAACCCGAGTCGTGCGCCTCCCCGATCGTCGGGCGGATAGCCCAGGGGCGGGCATTCCACGCATCCCTCCGGAGGCCTCGCCGAAGACATGGGCGATCTCTCTCTCTCTCTCTCTTTCTCTCCCCTGGACATGTTTTTGCGTCGCAGCGTGGCAGACGCAGCCCGCACGCGCGCTCGGGCAAGCCGGGTGACGGCACGATGGGATGAGGAGGGAGGAGGAGGAGGAGGAGAGGAGCAGGAGGAGGAGGAGGAGGAGGAGGAGGAGGAGGAGGGCTTGTCTGGATGCCAGAGGGGAAGACCGGATGGAGAGGAGCGGCCGCGGGAGGAGGGGAAGGAATTATGCGCTCAGGCAGCGGGGGCCGCCGCGCGGCGCCTGGGGCGGCCAATCCTCCTCCTCCTCCTCCTCCTCCTCCTCCTCCTCCTCCTCCTCCTCCTCCTCCTCCTCCTCCTCCTCCTTCCTCCTCCTCCTCCCTCTCCTCCTCCTCTCCTCCCTCCTCCTCCCCCCCTCCTCCCCCTCCCCCTCCCCCCCCCTCCACCCCCCTCGCCCTCCCCTCCTCCCCCGAGACACGTGCGTAACTTGCTCTCTCCCGGGCGGTCCGCCCCTTCCGCCTCGCCTCCGGCGGCCGGCCTCTGCGCCTCGGCGGCTCTCCAGCTCCGGTTGGCTGCGGCGCCGCGCCCGGCGCCGCGCGCCGCGCCCGCGGGAGGAGCTGCGGCGCGGCGCTGCTGCGCCTCCGCCGCGCGCGCGGGGGCGGCGGGCCTGCCGGGGCGGGAGCTGCCGCACGAGGGTGCCCTGGCCGATCTCCAGGAGGCGCGCCTCTCGCTGGGGGAGTTCGAGGCGGCGCTCGACACGTCCCTGGAGGATCGGGGAGGAAGGGCTGCAGATCATCGAGGGCAAGAGTCAAGCAGTGGCGAAGCGTCCTGGCTCGCCTGTAGCCCTACCGAACAATGTTCTAAGAACCTTCCGTGGTTTCCACGAAATGTTCTTAGAACATGTCTGGTCGGGACAGTCTTGTTTTATCACATCGGGTTTCTGTTCTTAGAAAATTGTTTTTGTTCTTAGAAGTTGTTGGGGTTCGAAGAACATTTCGTGGTCGGACTATAAGAATGCAGGGCCGGTCGGCCCCTTCTCAAAAGAGAATGCCCTGACCCAGACAAGGCGATGCAGACGTAGCCTTGGCCCCCGTGCCTGCACTAGGGATGATAGTCTTGGGTGTTTGGCGTGATACATCTGCCCAATAAAAACTGTCCCTGAGATTGTAGACCTCTTAGCTCAGGTCCGTCTCCAAAGGGTTAGGCGTACTTCATGGCTCATGTCATAAACATAAGCTTTCGGCGCTCCGCGCTGATTTTTTTGGTTGGCGCCTGGCCCTCCTGGCGCCAGGGGGGGGTCCAGCGCAGATCCAGGAAAGCCGCGCGGACCTCCGAAGGTGCATGTTTACGCAACTTGTTCTTCCTCTATAGAGGAGTGGCGACGGCGGCAACTGAAGAGCGCCTGGCTGCACGTGCCCCTGCGGCTGGCGCCGCTGATGGCCGCCGCGGCCGCGCGCGGCTTCGAGGTGCACCGCGGCAGGGGAGAAGTGGTGGTGCTGAAGCAGTGGCTCCGCCCGGACCTGGAAGACAAGGTGCCCCCGGGCGCGACGCACCAGGTGGGCGTCGCAGGCTTCGTGCTGAGCGAGGGTAACGAGCTGTTGCTCATGAAGGAGGCTGCCCCCGCCCGCCGCGCCGCGCCGGCGCAGTGGAAGCTGCCGGGCGGGCTGCTGGAACCCGGGGAGAGCTTCGGCGAAGCCGCCTGCCGCGAGGTGTACGAGGAGGTCGGTTCGGTTCGTAAGTCACGGAAGATTCCGCTCGTCTTGGGTTGAACGTATATCGTCGAGTAGCGCCAAGAAGCGTCCAATAGCGCCCATTGGCGCTTACATTGCGCCCAATAGCGACCGATATTGCCCAATAGCGTCATTCGAGGGAGATGCATCATGTCTGCTCCGGGTCGCGATTGGGCGCGCTACTGGGCGCCACGGGGACGACCGAAAGCTTCCGTGAGTTGCTTTCTAAGGTCGGGATCCGCTGCAGGTTCGCATCCGTGCTCGCCTTCTGGCACCGCCACGGGCTGCCGTGGGGCCAGTCCGACCTCTATGTGGTCTGCAGGCTGGAGCCGTTGACGCGGGAGCTCCGCCCAGATCCCACGGAGGTCGCCGCATGCTGCTGGATGCCGGTGGAAGAGTTCTTGCGGACGCAGAGCCACCCGCTCATCACACACGTGCTGCGAAACGTCTACGGGCTACGCCCGGGGGGGTCGCAGCCTTCATCGCCACTGGTGCCTCTCGCAGAGCTGGCAGAGTCCGCGGTGCAGTGGCCAGGTCGGGACCCGTACCCTACGTACCACGCGGCGGTTGCAGCTGGCGCGGTTGCGACCTGATGGCGTGGACTTCTGAGTGGCACAGGACATCACGGGACGCCCTTGGAGTTTGCAAGTCGTACCGTTGCCATCGTGTGGAGGTCGCAGTGGCATGGTTGAGAAAGCCACGATATCCAATAGTTTCGTGATGATCCTGCTCACGCGGCCCATCGTAGAACAGTGATTTGGACAGCCATGCGTGGTAATTGTGGCGATGACACGTCCGCCGCCGGTGAACGTCATATTGCACTTGTCCATCCGAGTCCTCCTCAATTGACTGTTACGTGAATGGCCCTGGCTTGACCAGGAAGTCCTGGAAACCGTCATCGTAACGTTGGTACGGTAGTCCACTTATTGCTGCATGGTTTGGGGCGGTCAGGCCGAGCACGGCAACCATAGCCCGCGGTGCCGGATCTGCGTCAGTTGGTTGGACTACGTAGCAGGCAGAATAATCCAGACTCCCGATTTGTTTTTTCGAAGACGTGCATCTGCCGAGCCCTCGATCTTGTTGGGCGTTTAAGAGGGTGGTGCTGACTGGAGGGGGTTGGATATCATGGCGGGGTCCATGATATCTCCTTTGATCCACTGGACTCTGTTATTCTTTCAAAACGTCCGCAGGTTCCCTCCTCCTCCGCGCACGTGCCTCGGGTCATGATTGCGGAACTACTCTCCTAGACGCCCTCCTGTTGAACGCTTCCGAGATCCGTTTTCCCGAGGCCGAGCGTTTCATTCTGGATCGTCTCTCGATTCCCCCCTGCGGCTCTGGGAGCAGCCCCCCCTTGAGGCTGGGATCGCCAGCCTCTTCTCCTCCTCCTCCTCCTCCTCCTCCTCCTCTTCCTTCTGCTGCTCCTCCTCCTTGGGCAGCCGGTTGGTGTGGGCGGCACCTCCCGGCGTCCGGGGGAACTGAAACCCGCTTAGTCGTGGCCTGTATGGGGGCTGCGCCACTGCCGTGGGTGGGTGGGGGGACTTGGCAGTGGGGGCACCGACCCCGGTCTTCGGGCCTAAGCGGTAAACCCGTTTCGGCTACGGCCGCTTCGGGTCCCCATCCATTGTCTTGGCCCAGCAACTCCACGGTCGCGCCAGGGTGTGGAGCGGGGGTCTGGCTTGGGCCAGGTTCATGGGGAGTCCTGCTCTGTCCCCCTTGGGCAAGGGGACTGGGGGGAGCAGGCCAGGGCACCCGCCCCGAGACTCGCACCAGGTGCCCCGCCTGGTGGCGAGGGGTGTCCTGTGTCCCCAGCCAGTGCCTGGAGTGCCTGGCGGGTGGCAGGGGGGCCCCCTCCTCTCGAGGGGGGGGTCGGTCCTGGAGGCGTAGGACGTGCACGTGCACATCTGAGTCCCACTCCCTTCCTTAGACGTTCGAGGTTTGGAGCGACCGAGGTGAACTTGGTCACTCCCAACACACTGCACATGCCCAGGAAGCGTGTTTTTAATAAAGGAAATCCATTCAAAAACAATGGATATCACTACGTGATGGAGGAAATCCTGGACATTCTCTTCCTCCTCCTTCCCCCCCGCGCGTCCGGCCTTGGCCGGCAGGCTGCACTCACCAGACCGATCGCTTCTCTGAAACACGTAGGCTGGAGCCCACACCAGACCGAATGCCGACGTGTACCACTGCACTGTTCGACAGCTTCCCATTTCAATCGCACGTGTGTGTGTGTGTCTAGCCTCTGCCGATGATCCAGGTGCAGTCCTTCACGTACTATGTCGCATCACATGTATTCTGCGGGTCCTGGGGGTGATGGAAAACATGCCGCTCCAAGAATCAAGATCAGTAAGTGCACTTGGTTTATCTGTTCGGCCCTATCCCAGACGCTGTTCGACAGACGACGCAACATCAATTGATGGAGTTGGCTGGGTTCTCGGTGGGGGGCGAATGATAGATTTCAGAATGATGCTAGAACCTTCCGCGAATGTCGATATCTCTCGGGAGGCCCCGCTGCGTAAGAATGGCCTGCGCGCGCATGCTAGGGCGGGAATCCGTTGTAACCAGTATCAATGGCATCATGTACCGCGCGCGCGTGTGCATGCCGTCCTCTCATGCGTCGAACAGGACCAGCCCATCCATCCATGCCCGAATGGCTCCTCCCTGTCGAACGAGGCGTTTTTCAAAGGTTTTGCGGTGCCCGCTGAGCACGTTATCTCACGGAGCCATTCTCGAACTGCTACGTTGGGCCCGGCCCCAGCTTCCATATTGCGCGGTGCAAGCGACCGCCATGCTGATGGGAGCGGCGGCCGTGACCTTCCCTGGCCCTCATAAGAACTTGAAGTTGATGGTCGACCATGCTCGCCTCGGGTCACACCAAATGCGTGATGGCGTTTTCCATGACGCCCCTCTTGCTAGAGCTGGCTGTACCATACCGTATCTAATTTTGCTAGGTTGATCTAGCGTTCGTCGAACATCTCTCTCGGGCGCAAGACACACGCAGGGATGAGTTTATTCGAGGAGCTCGGGGAAACATCGGCAGACATCGGGGTCACCGACCGCCGACCGAGACCCCAGCGAGCAGCAAGTGCATGCCGCGCCAACAAGCTGGTGGAACAATAACCTCTCCACTACATGCTCGCGCGCACGACCGCCAAACTGGGACTCGATCGAACCTCTCTTTTGACTCGTCCCAGAGATCTGTGCTATGGCTGCTAGGAGGACGTGAGGAAGTGGACCATTGACCGCATACCGCACTCCCCACTCGGCAGGCAAACGATGCTGCAGGTTCGGTTGCGTTGCGTCCGGTCGGTTTCTCCATTACGCCTGGTGTTCTATCCTGGCGGCCGCTGCGAAATGGTCTGCGTCGTCGTCTTCTCTTGATATGCTAGCTGAGTGGTGGTGCCTCTCTACGCCGCATGCCCAGCATCTGGAAGCCATGTCCGTACCCTACCAGACGCACAACCTGGCGTTCCCGGACAGTCAGGTCTCTACACGGCCACTGGTGGCGAGTAGCGCGGCCGTTGTTGTGTGATCTTTGCGGCTGAACCTTCCCACCGCGTTTGTCGAACGATTGATGGGGAGCCCTACCAGCTGTCCGTGTAGTTCGAAGACGCGCGCGAACGCCATGTGACTCATTGATGTCGTTCGCAGTCGGGCAGTGGCGATGTTACCCCACCGACGGGGACCGCTACCCCGCCAGCGGATCAGTCGACGGGAGAATGATACATGACATTGTGTGGGCCACCGTCTGGGCCCCTCCTCGAACCTCTGGCTGTGGGACGACAGGTGTCTGGCACGCTTCTCACCCCAACTCCGCGCGAGCCAGAGACTGACTTCGAGAATTGGCACCCCATGGGGATCGGTTGAGCATTGCGGGTCGATGGCGTTGACCTGAAGTTTGGTGAGATCCAGGGCGAGGCAGATTGGTTCGGGTGGACCGATGGGAGCCAGCTCTTCGACACAGGTGTCCCTTCTTTCGACTACAGTCGAGGCGCTGAAGAAGGAACCCTTTTCGTTGGGGAGGGGCTCGGTGTTCCTTGATTGCTTAACAGTTTGCCTCAGGTGTTCCTGAGGTTATCCATGGGACATCGAAGTTTCACGTATGGGGAAAAGGGGCCTCGTTCCTTATTTAGGGTTCCTTGGGTCAACGCCCCGACTGTATCAGGTCCAGGGGCGGCATTGGCCGTGATTCGGAGCATGTTCTGCGCCATGTCTGGCCCATCCTTCCCAACGCCCGCCGTCTGCCTCTCGTATGCCCAGGTGGCTTCACTGACTTCTCCCCGTGTCCGCTGCCCTCGAGCTGGGATGTTGCTCCTGCTGGTCCCAAGCTTCTCCCTCACCCCGTCCGTGAAAACAACCGTGCTCCCTTTTTCGAGCCTGGCGAGGACGCCAACTGGGCCCGCCCCCATAGCCAGCATGCATCTGATGCTATGCTGTCGTTCGCTTCTGCGCCTCACTGTTCCCCATCCGTCGTCTTTCCCGTGTCGCCTCCTTCCCCTTTCGTCCCCCTCAGCCCGTGGCGTCCTTTGCTCGCTCGTCGGCTGCAAGTGTCTCCGATGCCGCGGTGGGGGCCGTTTTCCCGCCCGTTGCGCCCATCCACGATGGTATGTACAACTCAGGCGGGACCCCGCCCACGCCGCTTGTCGCACCGCCGCGCCCGCTTCTTGATTTCGCTTCCTCCGCCATGCCCGGCGTGGAGGAGTGTCGGGGGCCTCGGGGTCTCTAGCTGCGAGGGCTGGCAACCCATTTGAGTACCGCTCGCCTCCTCTTTCTCCCCTGGGGGGAGGAGGAGGAGGAGGAGGAGGAGGAGGAGGAGGAGGAGGAGGAGGAGGAGGACGAGGACGAGGAGGAGGAGGAGGAGGAAGAGGAGGAGGAGGAGGAGGAGACGAGGAGGAGGAGGAGGAGGAGGAGGGGCAGGAGGAGTAGGAGGAGAAGGAGGAGGAGGGGATGAAGGAGGAGCAGGAGGAGGAGGAGGAGGAGGAGGAGGAGGACGTGGAGACGACGAAGGAGGAGGAGGAGGAGGAGGAGGAGGAGAGGAGGAGGAAGAGGACGAGGACGAGGACGAGGGCGATGACGAGGAGGAGGAGGACGAGGAGGAGCAGGAGGAGGAGGGAGCTCCCATCCTTGGAGCTGCCTTCAGTTTTCGGCCCCCGCGAGGGGCTTCTCCCCTGGGGGGGCGCGTGGCACCTCAGTGTGCGCCAGCCCTCCCGTCGTAAAGACCACTTGTGCGCGGCCAGGCTCAGCCAGCACTCAGCTCCGACAACAGCGAGCCTCCGTTTGCCCGGAGGGGGGGCGGGGGCGGCGTGATCGCACGTTCGAGGCGGATCCAGCAATGGCGGCGAGGAGCCCCCAGGAGGCCAGGAAAGAGTGCAAGAGCACACGCACACACACACAGACAGATTCAAACCCTCGATGCTGAGTTTTACCTTCCTCCTCCTCGTTGCTCCTTCTCCTCTCCCCCCCCTCGTCGTCCTCATCCTGCGCCTCTCTCTCCTCATCCTGTGCGCCCTCCTCAACTTCCAGGCGGCCCAGCGGAGCAGCACTCGCGCCTGGCGTCCTTTTGTCGCCATCCCCCGCGACGGGGCGGGGGCGTGGTCGGTGGACGAGGGTCGAGAGTCCCCGGGTCTGAAAGACGTGGGAATCGAAGAAGGGGTAATTTCAGGAGGGGAAAAAACACACAGACACAATTAATCCTCGATTCCCAGGAAAATATGGGAAAATATGGGAATTGGGGGGAAGACAAAAACCCAGAAAATATGAGAAAATATGGGGACTATTTTTATTTGTGTGTATTTATTTGTGTGTCCTAATTTCCCTTTATAATTGTTTGGTTTGGCCCAGCGCTGATCTCAGGGGCAACGCTCATGGGGGACAGGCTCGGGGGGGGGGGGCGCATCGACCCCCAATCGCCCACTCATCGCCGACAGGAGCCTGATAGCCCACCCCCGCCGAGGAGCGTGCGGATTTGTTATCGGGGCCCTGTCGGCGATGCATCAGCGATGCATCGCCGATTCCAGATCGAGGCTTCCCCCCCCCTGACTTGATCCCCTCACTCGCTGCCCCCCATGAGCCAAGACATCCGCGCGGACTCCTGGAAGCTGAGATTTGTGCAGAGGGTCGTTTTTTGTGTTCGCCGGAGTCGTCGCCGGAGGCCCAGGTGCCCATCCCAAGACCTTCGAAGTAGCGCTCGTCGCGCGGCGTGGGCCCCTGGAATTCCCAACCCCGTTCCAGACCAGGGCTCGATCTAAACGGTGCTGTGGCAGTGGCGCGGGCCGCGGTTCGTTTCGGCTGCGTTCTGCGGCAGCGCGGAGCGCAGACGGCACGAGGGGCACCCAGAGAGCCACGCGACCACGAAAGGCGCCGTTCAGGTCGGCCCTTGTCCCAAACCGCTCCGATTCGCCGCGGATCATGTCCTGCGGGTCGTGGGGGCCCACGGGAGACGCCGAGGACGGGGAGGACGGGGAAAGAAACACGCGCCTCGCGTGATCTGTCGCGACGCCTGGCGGTCTGGGCTCGTCCCCCGTCAGGGTCGGCCCCTGGGCCAGTGCCGGGGTGCGGTCTGGCCAGGATGTCGGAGGAGAACCAGCCGTGGCGCCCAGGGCACCCCGGGAGGCCCAAGGAAAGGCACAGCACGTTGACATGCTTCGATCTGCTGTCTCCCCCTCCTCCCCCTCCTCCTGCTCCTGCTCCTCCTCCTCCTCCTCCTCCTCCCCCTCCCTCCTCCTCCTCCCTCTCCTCCTCCTCCTCCTCCTCCTCCTCCTCCTCCTCCTCCTCCTCCTCCTCCTCCTCCTCCTCCTCCTCCTCCTCCTCCTCCTTCTCTCCTCGTCCGCCCTCTCTCCCCATCCTGCTCCCCCCTCCTCTCGAGGGGACGGTGGGCATTCCAGGCAGCAGCTCGTCCTCATTCCTAGTCCCCCCCCCCTCCTTCCACATCCACACGCTCCGCTGCGACACCCAATTTGGAGTTCGCCCAGGGCTCCCGATCGCGCTCACACTCCTTCGATTCATCTGCATGCTTATCCTCCTCCTCCTCCTCCTCCTCCTCCTCCTCCTCCTCCTCCTCCTTTGTCGTCCTGCTCCCTCTTCCCTCCTTTTGTGCCCCCTTCTGGCCAGGACTGGATCTTCACGGCCTACAACGACATGCTGATGGCCGAGAACAAGATGTCCTCGAAGAAGGGCCTCGTCATCACCTTCGACGCCAACAACCTGCAGAACAGCGACCCGCTGCTCATGCGGCGCGCCCTCCCGGGGGCCGAGCCGCGGCCTCTCGCGGCGGCCGCCCTCCCCGGGAGCTGCGCCTCCGGGCGGGCGGCCGGCCGAACCCCCCGGCGGCCCCCTCCAGCGCACCGCGGCGCCGCACCGCGCCGGCCACGCTCCGAGGCGTTCCAAAGCGGAGCCCCCCCCCCCTCCTCCTCCTCCTCCTCCTCCTCCTCTCCTCCTCCTCCTCCTCCTCGTCCTCGTCCTCCTCCTCCTCCTCCTCCCTCCTCCTCCTCCTCCTCCTCCTCCTCCTCCTCCTCCTCCTCCCTCCTCCTCCTCCTCCTCCCCCTCCTCCTCCTCCTCCTCCTCCTCCTCCTCCTCCTCCTCCTCCTCCTCCTCCTCTCTCCTCCTCCTCCTCCTCCTCCTCCTCCTCCTCCTCCTCGAGCTTCGTGCGCGTCCGTCGTGTGTGCGCACTCGTGGCCGCTCGGCACGCATGTCAGGCACCCCGCTTCAGGGGGAAGGCGCGCGGCACGCTCGTCAGAGGTGATTTCCTAGCCGAGCACGGGGGCGGTCATAGGACTGCCCTGACTGTGGCTCGGGTCGTGGCGTCGCAGGGGCCAGGCCGCCACGGGCCTGGGCCCCTCTCTTCGCGAGGGTCCTACACTTACAGGACGTTTTTCTTTTCTGCAGCCGAGGCCCCTCTGGAGGGGTTCCCGTGTCGCTGTTTAGTTGTTGTGAGTCTCGGAAGCGCTCCGCCTCATAGAGGCTCGCGCTGCGGTTGCCAGCTCTCCGCTCCCCAGCCGCACCCGAGGACTCCGACAGACTGTTGTTGCTGACCTCAAAGGAGGCAACCAGCGGCTGCAGTCCCGTACAGGAGAGGCGCTTGTCAGCGGGAGCTAGCGCCTTGTGCCCAGGAGGGCATGCATCCCGAGGCCCTGTCAAAAAAATTTCTCCTCCTCCTCCTCCTCCTCCTCCTCCTCCTCCTCCTCCTCCTCCCCCTCCTCCTCCCCCCCCTCCTCCTCCTCCGCCTCCTCCCCCTCCCACGCATCTTTCTTCGCATCCTCCCCCTCCCACGCATCTTTCTTCGCATCCTCCCCCTCCCACGCATCTTTCTTCGCATCTTTCTTCGCATCCTCTCCCATCTTCCCCCCGCTCCGCCTGGCTTCCCTCTACAGGATGGGAATGGTGGGCCCAGCGACGGGCACGAGAGCTCGCGGATCTCCCGCCCTGCCTGCCTCCCACCACCACGGGCCTCGGCCCAGGCGCCGCTCGACCTGGTCAGGCTGAAGGGAGGAGCCGCCCGTGCGAGGAGGGCGGCCCGCTTGCTGGCGCAGCGTGGGCCCTGGAATGCTCCAGGAGGTGAGCTGCACACTCACAGATTTGTTCTTCTGTCCTCCGCCCTGCGGGGCTCTGGTGCGAGGGGGCAAACCTTCCTTTTTGATCGTTTCCCTGTCTTGCCCTGTTGTCGCACAGGCCTGGTCCCAGGCCGCGGTGGCCACAGTTCCTGACAGCCAGAGCGGTACCGAGCGCGCCATGCGCCAAGCCGTCGTCGAGCGAGAGCGCCAGCCTCGCCTCCCTCCCCTCCCCGCTCCTCCTCCCCCCCAGTCTGCAGAGGCGGCGGCTTGCGGCTGCTGTGCGAGGGACGTGGTCAGGGGCAGCTCACACGTTGCTCGATCGCGTCCCCACCAACCGGCCAACCAGAACGGGGGCCTTGCCTTCGCGGATCGACGGAGTCGGCATCTCTTCCGCGGCGGAAGGCCCGCGGAAGTAAAGCGAGGGCGCTCCCGCCGGCGGAAGCTGAGCGGAAGCTCGGCAGAAGCAAGCGGAAGGGAAAGTCGGCCCCCCAAGAGATGGCAAGGTGGCAAGGTTAGTGGTTCAGGGTTTTCGTAACCCGCCATTTGGGATCATGTTCAAGGGGCAGACGGTCGGGGAGGGTTATCCAGGGCACGGCGACAGTCGAGCCAGACTGAGCCGGAGACACGCGCAGCAAGGCTCGCAAGAGCTACAGAAGCCGCAAGGCGCAATTCCCGCCGCGTGCGTGTACACAAGACGGGTGCGGGCGTGGGACATTGCCAGCGAAACTAATTACAGTCACGAGGAGGCCGAGGTTTCGCTTGGAACTCTTGCGTCCTGCCACTCATCGCCCTCCTGCACCACGCCCTTACAAAAATCCAGGTCCCCAGGCCACCGACGAGTCGTAGCCTGTTCGGGGCGCAGCCCTTGGGAGCTCCCCTTGCCTCTGGCCTCTTCTTTTTCTCCTCCTCTTCCTCCTCCTCCTCCTCCTCCTCCTCCTCCTCTTCCTGGTTCCTCCTCCCCCTCCTCCTCCTCCTCCTTCTTCTCCTCCTTCTCCTCCTTCTCCTCCTCCTCCTTCTCCTCCTCAGTGGCTGAGGCCACCATCCCTTGCGCTGCGCGGCCGCGCGGTGCGAGGAGACGTCGCCCCCCTTGGCGCCACCGCTGCGCCTCCTCCTCCTCCTCCTCCTCTTCCTCCTCCTCCTCCTCCTCCTCCTCCTCCTCCTTCCTCCGCCTGCTCCTCCTCTCCTTCTCCTCCTCCTCCTCCTCCTCCTCCTCCTCCTCCTCATCCTCCTCCTCCTCCTCTTCCTCCTCCTCCTCCTCCCCCTGGAAAAGGACACCACTTTTGTTTGGCTGATGGTTTTGGTACATGAGGTTTGCGCTGTGATTTCAGTACCGCCTCGCCGCGATGGCCATCTGCAGTGGTCCGCTTCCCTCGCCTTCAAACAGCGACCCCGTCGTCGGGTCTGTTGGGGCGTCTTGTGTGCGTCTCTGAACGTCGTGGAGCCATCTTGGGCCCATAAAGGCGCTCTCAGGGCCCTTCGGGCCATCGTGGCCGATCTGGACCACTCTTGGGCCACCTGTGCCGTCTTGGAGGCTCGGGCCCGCGGTGGCCCCCTCCCCCACATGTCTAGATTTAGACCCGTGCCCCATGCCCCCCCCACACAGGTCTACATCTGCACCTGTGGCCCCTGCCTCCCCCCCCCCCACGCAGCTCTGGATCGACAGGTTGTGGCCCCGGCCCCGTGACGTCCCGCGCCTGCCCGGCCCGGCCCCCTCGGCTGCCTGGCCCCGCACAGGCCTGCATCTGGACCTGCCCGCCCCCCCGCCCGCCCCTTTGTGGGGCGCCCGTCCCCACGGGCCTGGATCTAGACCTGTGGCACCCCTCGGGCCCCTGGAGGATGCTGCTGAGCAGGGAGAAACCAGTCGGATCCCTCCTCCTCGGCACACCCCGGCCTCGGGCCGAACAAACTTCCGGGCATTGGGCCGAACAAGTCTGAACGCAACAGCGGTGAGAGCGACATTGAATATTTGATCTAGGCTTTCTCCTCAGCGCACGTGAAAAAGCGTTGAGGGGCATGAAACTTGAGACGCGCTTGTCATCCCAGAGCCTTTCGGGAGGGCTCCCCAGGATCATCTCTCGGTTCGGGGGCTCCTTGTGCCCTCTGGGGGCCGTCTCGGAGCTTGTGAGGGCCCTTGGGGCCGTGCTGCGGCTTCGGTGCTGGCAGCAGTGGCAAGAACGTGGCTGCAGCAGCAGTCCCCCGCATCCGCCGATTGAGTTTTTCTTTAACCCGCGGCACAAGGGCTCCCGATCCCCTCCGCATGGCCAGGTTTTCGTTTCAGGTCCATGTTTGTCGGAGGTTGAAAGACCTCCTACCCTGACATGTCGATTAGCGAATTGGCCGTTTTCGGTTCGCGAGAGGGCGTCGCGGCCGTCATTGTTGCGGGTCCAGGTCCGTCGGTTTCGATCCTCGGCCGTTCCACTAAGGGAAGGTTTACTAAAGGGAGGTCTACCCACCGCCGAGTTTGGTGCTCCCGGTGCCAGGTAACGGGCCCCAGAGGCCAGAGCCGAGAGAGGAGAGGTCGAAAATTTTTGGGGCCCCGGCCGTGGGAAGCAGCCAGACGAGTGGAGGCACCTCTGCGCCCGCAGCAGCAGCAGGCCAGAGTCCGTCAGTGGCGCCCCGACGAGAGGGTATGTCGTCCCCGCCCGTGCCGGCTGCCATCCCCGAACCGAGCCGGCCAGGGCTTTCTCCTGCAGCCTGCCCGCCGCCCCCTCTGCGTCGCAGACGCGCGCGCGCCTCGGGGAGAGGGGGCCGGGGCTGGGGATCCAGGGGGGCGCCCCATCGTCGCAGGCCTGGAGGTTGACACCGACACCAAGATCGGCGGTGTGCCTCCACCGAGGGAAGAAGATCCCGATCTCGGTGATGGCGGTCATGTTCTGGCTTCCGAGGTGGCCGAAATATTACCACCGACACCGAAATCGAGGACCATCTTCCCCCTGTGGAGGCCCCCCCCCCCTGTGTTGGTGTTGGTGCCCATTCCCAGGCCTCCAACGTCGGATAACAAACAGACGCATGAGCACAGCCCTGCGGAGCTCTGCGCGGGTGGCTCGCGTCGGCGGCGTGCGCCCCCCCCCTGGCGGGCGCCCCTGGCGCCAAAGGCGCGCCAGGGAGGGGGATCGGACGCGGGTGCAAGGAATCCGCGCGGAGCTCCAGAGGCTTGTGCTTCTGCAGCTGTCTGCCTTCAGGTACATTGAGGCCATGATGCCCGCGGACGCGGCGTACATCGTCGCGGGCATCCTGTACGTCTTCATCTACTGCCGGGTCATGATGGGGTCCTTCTTCATGGTGGCCCGGGGCGCCGCGCGGGGGACAGGAGACCCCCAAAAAACACAAACTCAAATATACGTATCTGTCCATTGACATGTGCGAAGAGGATGGGGAACGGAAGGGAAGCCGAGCATGCAGAGCACACCTGGAAACAGATAGGGGCTCCTGGGACGGTCGCGTCTGCTCATGCGTGGCTCCCTGGGCCCCTCTGGCGGGGCAGGAGCCAGAGGCCTCGCGCGCCCGAGGCTGGAGAGGAGGGCACGCGGGCTGAGGAGGAGGAGGGGGCCCCGCAGCCAGCCTCGTCTCGGAGGTTCCTTTTCTCACATCGAGGGATGCCTGGGCATGCGCAGTGGGGCGTGCGCTCGCAGAGCGAGCTTGCACCGGCCTGCGTGTCTTCCCCGCCACGTCCGTCTGCAGAGGTCCCGCCGCTTACAGTTATTGGCAGTCGGTCGCTGGATGCTACAGCATGCAGGCTGTGCACATGCGAACTTGATGTAGGAGGAGGGGGTGGGAGTTGCTTTGACATTCACCTCTACTGGCAAGCCGTTCTCGCGCTGCCAATGCAAACAACTGACCTCAGGCGGTGGCAGCCAAGGCAGAGAGACATCGCCCGAGGAAGTCAAAACAAGGAAGGGGCCCCGCGCCACACGACCTTGCACGAGCAGCTGTGACCAGGCGACAGGAGATCGCCAGACACGCTGAGGGGCGACAGGTGAGCCTGAGCTCTTAGGGCTCCAGGATGAGGGGGAGGGAGACGAAGGAGCAGGGAGGAGGAGGGAAGACTCGGCGGCGAGCGAGGGGGGGAAGTGAGAAGGAGAAGGCCTTCTCAGAATGGTCGGAAGCCCCCCGGCCTTCTGAGAAGTTTCCGGAGCCTTCCCCGAAGACAGGTCAAAGAAAATCTCAGGGGGCGCGAGGGCCTCCGAGGAGTCCCGCCGCCTTCCGAGAAGGCCTCCTCCTTCTCGTTTCCCCACCCCCCCCCTCGCTCGCCGCTCGAAGACTGCACCAGGCCGCGGGTCTGGCGAGCCTCCCGCGGCCCAGCGCCCCACGGCCCACGAGGCGCAGGCTCTGGAGCCCGTGGCCCCCGCGCCCCACTGTGGCGCGAGGAGGCGGCGCGAGGGGAGAAGCCCAGGCGCCGCGGCCACGCGCGAGGCGGAGGAGGAGGAGGAGGAGGAGGAGGAGGAGGAGGAGGAGGAGGAGGAGGAGGAGGGAGGAGGGGGAGGAGGAGGAGAGGGAGGGAGGAGAGGAGGAGGAGGAGGGAGAAGGAGAAGAGGAGGGGGAGGGAGGAGGGAGGAGAGGAGGAGGAGGGAGGAGGAGGAGGGAGAAGGAGGAGGAGGAGGCGAAGGAGGAGGAGGAGGAGGAGGAGGAGGAGGAGGACCTCGTGGCCGAAACCCTCGTGGGCCTCAGCCTCCCAGTCCCGGCCCTCCGCCCCGCTTCTCCCAGCCGCCGGTCTGCTTTTGGGGCTGGTCTGCCACCCCGGATGCTCACTCGGAGCACACACCCCGAGAGGTGCCCGCGGGCGCCTCCACGGCGGCGCCGCGGCCCCACGGCCCCGGGGCCTCCTCCTAGGACGGGGTAGGGACACCATCGGGGGCAGAAAAGAGGGGGGTGATGACCAGGGGGGGGGGGAATATCATGGCGGGGGCCATGATATTTCCCCAGGTCTCATGGCGCCTCCTTCTTGTTCCATGACGTCCCTGGCCCCCCCGCTGGGCCGCGCACACGCCGCTGGTCAAGATTGGCACCCCCCCTCTTGGACACCCCCCTCTCGGCGGCTTCCGACACGAAGTCAGTCGTCACCGCCAGCTTGCACAGCAGAAAGGGGGGGGGATGAAGGAGGAGAGCGGGTGAGAGCGTGCGGCGCGCACTCTGGCGTCGCGAGGGGGGAGGAGCTGCAAGAAGGGCGGGGGGCTTCTCAAAAGGCGGGGGGGTATCTTGGAAGGCCCCGAAGGGTTCTGAGAAGGCTTCTCAGAAGCCAGGAGGGTTTCTGAGAGGCCACCGCATTTCTGAGGAGACCTCGGGGGCTCTTCAAAGGCCGCCCCCCCCGCGCCACCCCCATGCTCACCGCCAAGAGTGGGAAGAAGAGGAGGAGGAGGAGGAGGAGGAGGAGGAGGAGGAGGAGGAGGGCAGGAGGAGGAGGTAGGAGGAGGAGAGGGATGAGGAGGCGGAGGGGAGGCGGAGGAGGAGGAGGAGGAGGAGGAGGAGGAGGAGGAGGAGGAGGAGTGGAGGTAGGAGGAGGAGGAGGAGGAGGAGGAGGAGGAGGAGGAAGGAGGAGGAGGAGGAGGAGGAGGAGGAGGAGGGGAGGAGGAGGAGGAGGAGGAGGAGGAGGGAGGAGGAGGAGGAGGAGGAGGGAGGAGGAGGAGGAGGAGGAGGAGGAGGAGGGAGGAGGAGGAGGAGGAGCAGGAGCAGGAGCAGGAGCAGGAGCAGGAGCAGGAGCAGGAGCAGGAGCAGGAGCAGGAGCAGGAGGAGGCAGACCAGGATATGCCCCGGGAGTAGCAGCGACGCTGCAAGAACCTTTTCGTCCCTGGTCCTCCCTTTATGAGCTCCTACACGGAAGGCCCGCCCTTTTCAAGGCAAGAGTTCCATGGGCGTTGCCAATCAAGCGAGGGCCCCGTTGAAAAAGGTAGCCGCCCTCCTTTCTAGCCGCAAAAAGTGCCACGGGGTAGGACTGAAAGCCGGAGGGGATGTCCAGCGAGAGCCGGTGCTGAAAAAGAGCCGTTTCTGTCCGTGCAATATTGCAGAACATGTCTGCGCGCGTTGATACGGAGGTCTCAGGCGACACACACAATTTGAGAAGGATCCGCCCTCGACCCGCGCATCTCTTGCACAATGAATTATAGATGGTTGCACATTGGTCGGAAGCCTCAAGCGATAGCACAGTTTTGAAAACAGGAACATCACTGTAGACATGTGAGACGAATGCGCGCGGCGCTGAGGCGATTAATCACATTGGAAAGAAGAGCTCGTCCTTCATCCTCGCAGTTGTTGGTAACGTTTCAGAGCTTGGAGATGTCAAGGCAAGCGCCCGCCGCGCGAAGGAGAGGGCCACATCATAGCTAAACTTGCATGATGCATATCTTTTTAACTATTGGGGTCACTTTAAACGAATGTGCGTGCGCTGAGGCCAGAGCCGCATTGAGAACTATTCGCCCTCCATTCTGCCATGCGTTGGTAATTTTCATGGCTAATGCGAGCGGCGCTGAGGCAGCAACATTATGTTGTTAAACCCGCTTTACATCATTATAATTGGTGGGCGCTTTTAAATGAACGTATGCAGTCCATAGGTCGAGATCCCCATCTTGAAAGCCATTTACCTTCCATTATTGTCGATCGGTTTAATATTCCGGGCCAGAAGTGTCGGGCGAAACGTCCAGCTCGGCCTACCGACACATTTGGTGGTGCGACGATGGAGAGTTTTCTTAGAAGGAAGGAACACGGTGGGGTGTTCGTTAAGGAATGTGCCCAAGAGGCGTCACACACTGGAGGGTTCCTTGTCTGATGTAAGCTTCCAGACCCTGGATTCCCTGTCCAATGGCTCCTGATCCAATGCCCTCACCGCAAGGATGGAAGAGGGGGTGAGAAGCTGAGCGGGGAGCGCGGCCACGATCTTTAGGCAGAGGGGTTCGTTTGGGCCCCTGCCTGATTTCTGCGAAATCGCACGTCCCTGCCGAGCTTGCAGAGTGGGCACCCATGCCTAACAGTTCCCCGGCCAGGACTCCCAATCCAAATTCTGTTGTCCAAGACGGGGGGGTAAAAAGCTTCCTACCCTCCCTTCTCCCTCTGTGCCTCCTCCTAACCATTCCCTTGCTGGACCGAAGCTGGGTGGTTGAGTGCGCAGCAGCCAGCCTTTGCTCCACCCCGCAAGCAGAACATTTCCATGCGTCAGTTCATTCATTGATCGCACGTTCCAAGCACCCCTTACCTCACTCTGCCGGCTACCGTGCTCCTTCTTCTTCTCCGGTTCCTCCTCCTTTCGTAACCATTTTGGTTCAAGCGCATTGGGCTCCATCTGCTTTCGGGGACCTTTTACCACGTCTGTCACCGAACATCTATAGACGCAGAGCATGACTGCACACGCGGTCCTCCTGTCGCTCTTCCTGCAGTCGGGGGCGGAGCTCCTGCCCAGCCCCGACTCCTGCCTCATCCAGATCACCTCGGCGGCCGAGGGTGCCGAGCGGCAGAGACCCCAGACCACGGCGCCCCCGACGGCGGCCCCGACGGCGGCCCCGACGCCGTCCCCGACGGTGGCGCCTGGGCAGCCCTGCCCCTGCCTGAAGGACGCCTGCTTCGAGGCCTACGACCGGGACTCCGACCAGTGCCTCAGAGAGGACGAGTGTGCTGTCCAGGCGCCGCTGACGAACTGCAGCAGCCCGACCTGGGACCTGGACGGCGACGGCTGCGTCAACCTCTCCGTCGAGTGGCCGCTCATCTTCGACATGACGAACGGCAGCGTGTGCCCCGTGGAGGCGAGGGCGGACGCGCCGGAGTGCGGGGAGGGGTACTACCTCGACGGGAACCCGGTGGCCTGCATCCAGTGCACCACGGGCGCGACACGTCGGCGACGCTCGTTCGAGTGCTCCGCTTGCGAGTCAGGAGCTTTCGACGCCGGTGATTACGACGATTGCCGCGACGGCAGCTACCTACCGTCTGATGTCGGCGCGGGAGACTTCAATATCCCAGTTACTCCGACTGACCCACCGCTGTCGCCCGGCGACTGCATCGACATCGTCTCCATGTCCCAGTCTGGCGCATGCAACCAGTCCGTCGAGACGGTGTGCATTGAGAGCGTAGGTCCTGGCAATGAGGTCACTCTCACGACGCCCCTGCAGAACAACTACACCAAGTACGCTGGCGTCATCATCTCGTGCACGACGGTGGACGGGACGGAGCTCAGCCGCAAACACGATTCTTCTGGAAAGTGCGGGTGCAAGTCGGCGACCTGCGACACGACAACGATGTGCTCCATCGGCGCCGACAACTGCACAGCCACGTGCATCCCGACTGGCCCGTACCCGATCCACCCGACCCCGGCTCCGACCGTGGGTGCCAAGGGCGACCCGCACCTGGTCAACCTGCAGGGCGAGCACTTCGACATCAACCACGGCGGGGACTTCGTGCTGCTGCGCCTTCCGCAGGACTCCGCGAAGGACGCCGAGCTCGAGCTGTTGGCCACCGTCCAGCCGGAGTTCAAGAAGCCGTGCACCACATACATCACGCGGGTCGAGCTCTCCGGCTCTTGGCTGGGCAACGTGTCCGTCCAGGTGCGCTTGGGGAGGGGGGGGGGTGGGTAAGTGGTGGGTGGGGGGGGGAGTTGTGGGTGTTTGCGTAGGAAGGAAGGGGAGGGGGGGTAAGAGGGTTGGGGGGGGGGGGGCGGGTAGGAAGCACGGTGGGGGAGGGAGTGGGTTGGGTATTGTGGGTTGGGGGGGGGGGGTGGGGGTTGTGTCAGAAGGGCTGTTGTTGGGGGCGGTGTAATTGTAGGGGTTAGCGGGTTGGGTGGTGGTGGGGTTGGAGAGGCGGGAGTGGCCGGAGAGGTTAATGGGGGGATTGGTTCTTAATATTATGGCATTTTGCTTTTTTTCAATTATTATATTATCTATTGATTGTTCTTTTTTTGTTCTTTTTGACTTTTTACTTTTCTTTTTTGTTCTTTGTGTTCTCTTTATCCTACCTCCAGGCCACCCTGGCCCGAGGGCGCGCACCTGGGGGCCGCCTTCATGAGCCCTTGGGGGCGGAGGCGTCACCCTGGCAGAGCATGGAGGCCTTCCTGGCCGACGGCACCGACCTGGTGCTGTCTGCGCCGTACAGCAACTTCCACGTGTCGCTGTCCAAGAGCCAGTGGTTCCCCAAGAAGGAGACAGTGCAGGCGCGCCCACTGTGGCCGGGATGTTTACGCTGAGCGTCCAGGCCCGCAATGCCCCGTCGCCCGCCAAGATCGTGATCCGCCAGGACCTGCCCGAGCAGGAGCACCTGAACCTGGCGGTCCAGCGCGTGTCCGCGCTCGGCAGGATGGACGTGGGCGGCCTTCTCGGCTTCGACGCGCATCCAGCGAGCCTGGAGTACGTCTCGGGCAGGTGCGAGCACCACCGGGCGACGGAGAAGTACAGCGTCGAGAGCCAGGAGGACAACGGGTACTACTACACTCCGGTGTGGAAGCAGCGGTGGCAGGAGATGAAGAAGAAGCGGAAGCTCGATGCCACCGACGAGGACGCGCGCGACAACGATGCGGCTGCCACGCTCATCGACAGCATGGGCTCGAGCTCCAACCTGGTGTGCAAGTGCCCGACCGCCGGAGGGCCTTGGGCCGAGGGCATCGTCATCGAGGAGCCCACCGCGCTGTTCGCCGAGGCGTCCTGGGACTGAGGCCGCGGGGGCGATCCCGGCAAGCCGCCTCTCCGCGTGCTGGGCGCTGCTGGCCAAGCCGCACCCCGGGGAGTCCCGGTGTCGTTGTGTAGTTTTGCCTGACTCCGGGGGCAGCAGGGTGCTTGACCTGCCGGCTCCTCAATCAAGGCATTGATGCTCCTCCTCATCCTCGTCCTCCTCCTCCTCCTCCTCCTCCTCCTTGTCCTCCTCCTCCTCCTCCTCCTCCTCCTCCTCCTCCTCCTCCTCCTCCTCCTCCTCTTCCGAGAGGCACAGAGAGAGAGAGATACGACGTCACGGAGGGTTATGATTGTTTCTGGAGGTCCACGGAGGTCTTTGGAGGCCGCCGGAGGCCCAAGCAGAGCCATGAGCGCAAAGGCAAAAAGCCCAACGTTCTTCCAACCCCTCCTAGACGCTTGCAGGTCAGGGCGGACGTACCAGGGCAGATGCCGATGTGACCTGGAGGGCATTTCAGGCCCTCTTTGTAGCCTGGTGTGGCCCCAGAGGTCTGACCTGGATGGCGGCCTCGCCTTCGCTGTAACCTGGTGTGGCCCCGCACGTGTGGCCCCACGGTGTGGCCTGCGGTGCAACCCGGTTCGGCCCTGCGTGTGTGGCCCAGACGTCGGCCTGGTCTGCGCTGTAACCTGGCGTGGCCTGGATGTGGCCCTCGATTCAGAGGCTTGCTGAGGGCCGTTCTGGCCGGGAGGGCGATTCGGCATTCGTTGTAATTTTGGTGTGGCCCCTCCCCTCCACTGCCGCTCGACGCCCCCTGGGTTTCCCTCCGCCTCGCCTCCTCGCTCCCACCCCCCACCTCCTGTCCCCATCTCCCATAATTTATTCCTACTCGCTCCTTTCCCCACTGCAGCCCCCTCGCCCACTTACCATTCCGTCCTCTCCGTCGATTCTACGTTCCTATCCCCGTCCCCATGCTTCCACCACCAATCTCTCCTCTCTCTTCTCCAACCCTCCCCTCACGTCCCATCCTCTCCCCCACCCTGTCGTCCTCACTGCTCCCTTGCCCCCTTCCCCCCTCTTCCCCCTTCCTCCGTCCCCTCGTTGTTGGTTGGAGACGCAGCGGCCAGGAGAAACTCTGTGAGTCTGTCTGCATCCTTATAGGTTCCGCGCTCAGCCTGTGAGAATACAATGGCCTCCTCATGGTTGCTCCATATGTTTCGCACCCAGCAAGCAACATAGCGGCCTTCGATTGGTGGCGGCCACCGAGAACTGAACGGCCTCGTACTGATCTCGCCGTAGGTTGTGCGATCGGCCGTTGAGAATACAACTGTCTCCTATTGGTTGTGCCGTAGCTTGCGCGCTCGGCCGCAGAGGATAAAGATACTCCCTGCCGGTTGCGTTGTAGGTTGAGCGCTCGGCCGCCGAGAACAACACGGCCTTCTATTGGTTGCGCCATAGGTTGCGCGCTGCCTGCGTACTTTTGCTTGCTCGAGCGTCCGGGTGAGTAATGACGCATTCTCCACAGAGACGGGAGGGAAGGATGGGATGGGAGCAAAACGTGGGGTGGAAGCAAGCGGAGCGGACAACAGAGTGGGAGGGATAATGGCGGGAACGGGGAAGCCCAGACACTTGTTTCTCCCTTCATGCGGGCCGTGGTCGCCGTCAGTCAAGGATGGGAGACGCAGATGGCCCCAAGATGTATTAGGGCGGTGCTAGGAGCCCCGCCCTTATAGATGCCAGAAATGCCAGATAATAGCGACCAAGACAGTGAATTTCACCATCAGCGAGAACCAGGGCTGTCTCGACAGCGGCCGTTCGAAGAACATCGCACACGAGGACGACATCGAGGTGCACGAGCAGCGGTGGATCGACGCAGGCGGACGCGAGGAGGACTTCAAGTATGAGACTGATTGGACGGCCAGGACGTTCAGGTTCAGCAGTAACGACACCCAGAGGTCCAACAGAAAGGCGTGGATACCGCAGTGGCTTGGTTACGCGCTGGTGCGGTCGCGCGTGCACATCGTGCCCGGCATGGCCCCGCTGCTGCTGTCGAGACGGTGGGCGAAGGACCTCGGGGGCCACGTGGATTTCGAGAAGAACACGATCGATTTCGCGGCGATCGGGCAAAAGGCGCAGCTGACGACTCGCGGCGGCGAGCAGGACGGGCACTACGCGTTGGAGATGCGCGCGCCCCCGCCGCGCGCCATTGTCCAGACGGTGTTCGATTGGAAGACGGACGACGTGGAGGTCTATGACAAGAAGGAGCAGGAGAAGCACCCCACTGTTCAGAACGCAGGACGGCTCGAACGGTCGGGACCTCAGATCGTCGCTGCCGGACGGCTCGCATGGTCGGGGCCGCAGATCTTCGTTGCTGGACGACTCAAAGTGTCGGGGCATCAGATCTTCGCCGCTGGACGGTTCGAAGGGTCGCGACTTGATGTCGTCGCCGCGGGTGCCGGACAACGGAAAAAATCGCGGCCCGATGTGACGCGGGACGACGACCTGCCCGACGTAAAGCATGTGGTGGTGAGCAAGAAGCAGCGGCGGAGCCAGAAGGCCGTGGCGGGTGGAGATCGAATGGAGAAACACAGTGACATCGGGATCTTGGACGTGTTCTCGCCACTGAGGGTGGCACAGGCCGCGGCGGCCGCACGAACCGCCAGTTTCGGCGCCTTCGACTTGAAGACGAGATGGGGTTTTGATCAGAGCAGCGCGAGGGAAGAGGTCGAGAGGATAGTAGAGAGAGAGGACGAGATAACTAACCGAAAAGAGCTATAGATGATCACGCTGCCATCCACGCACAACGCTGTCCAATCTCCAAGACCTCAGTCCCCAAGGCCATTGGCGAGTGGATGAACCAGTGCGAGGAGGCGGCCGCCTACGTCAACTGTTGCGTCAAGCTGGCCAAGAATCAGATGGAGGTCGGTGGCGCTTTCGTCTTCCAGGTTCTACTGGGAGGTGGAACCTGGGCGCCGGGCGAGATGAAGGCGTTCTTCGCGAGGCGCCGAGAGGAGCGCTGCTTTGCGAAGAGCGCCTGGTGCGCGCCGGGACTGAGGGAGATGGGCGCGGGCAAGATTCGGGGGCCGCCAAACGGTGCGGTGACCGCACCGTGCGGTGAGTCGGCGAAATCCCGGGTCACCGCGCGGTTTTGGGACTCGAGTCCTTCTCCGACGATGTCTCGGGCGACGGGGGCCTCCAGGGCCCCAAGACCGCGCGGTGAGGTTTTGGGGGATTTCGAGGTCACCGCGCGGTCCGTCACCGCACCGTTTGGGGACTCCAAAAAGATGTTCGCTGGGAGGTGGCATTCGTGAAGAGTTGCGCGGCGCTCGCGGAGACGGCGGGGGCGTCGCGCGAAGGAGGCCACGCGCGCGCCCGTGCTCTTGGCGCGACGAGGGGCCCCAGAAGGTTCAGTCGACGCGCCCGGACCGCAGTCTGAAGTCAAGGCACGTTCTGGTCGAGAAGGCCGAAGGGGTGGTCGACGCAAGGCCGACGGCAAAGGGGCCCGGAGACCTCGATCTGCGGGGCCTGGCGAAGGCGGGCGGCGCGGGGGCTCCGACGGCAAGTTAGGTGTCGAGGGGCACGGCGCTGCGGCTGATCGCGAGTCACCGGCGGAGGATCCAGATCGGCGACGTCAATGGGGCCTTCCATGAGAGCGACTAGCTGGGTCGACTTGGAGGACCGCCGCACGGTTCTCAGCCCGCAGGTTGAATGCCAGAGGTACCGGAGTACGCGCTGATTCGCGCGGACCTTCCGCTGCACGGGCTGAGCGATGCGCCGAAACGGCGGCGCGGGAAGTTCGCGTCGGTGGCCGAGGAAGCAGGGCTGACCCAGTCCAGGCTGTACCCCTGCATGTTCTCTGCCGCGTCGAGGATGGCAGGTTGAAGCGCGCCCTTGACATCCGCGTGGGCAACGTCATCACCCGCGGCGAGGGCTGCGAGGCGATCGCGAAGCACCTGAGGCAGAGCCTGCCGCACAGGAAATGGAAGATCGGGGAGGGCGAGTTCTGCTGCCCCCAGGTGAAGCAGGGCGACGACATCAGCACCGAGGTGTCGCAGTCGCAGCTCGCCCAGGGCATGGGGGCGCTGAGGGTGGGCCGAGCGGCCCCCGACGGGTGCGAGCTGAGTCCAAGAGAGATCTCAGCGTGCCAGAAGATGCTGGGCGAGGGCGCTGGTTCCAGTTCCAGACGCGCCTGGACCTGGCCGCGCAGTTGAACGCGGCCTTACTGGAGATGGGCAGTCGAACCGCGGCGACCCAAACAGCGATCAACCAGGTCATTCGTCGTGCCCGTCTGTTTGCAGAGATGTCTATCACGGCCTATCCCACTCCCTCGGCAATTCTCGCGATCGCGACTCGCGCGGACGCCGGCAAGGAGAGGGTTCGAGCTGGCTCCGTCGCAGCATCAGTCGAACGAGCCCATGGACTTGGATAGTTTGCGATTTCCCACGGCGCGGCGCTCGCGCTGGCTGAAGAGCTGCGGCGGCAATCTCGGCAGGGGAATTTCAAATTTTGATGGGCGGTTCTGGACACCGCGGGCGCGCGACGAATCTGGCGCAGGAGGCGGCGGATTTCGAGTTCGAGCCTGTTCGGCGGAGCGAGTGATTTGCGAGACGAGCTTCGGCATGCGCCACCATCTGCAAGTCAGCGCGCGAGCGACGGCGCGAGGAGGGCGCTGCCAGCCCCCAAACGAGGCGACCCTCTTGGGACGAGCTGCCGAAGGGGGAGAAACGACGGCAGGGGCGAGGAAAGCCAGCCCAGCAACCACAGTCGGACACAGTAGCGGTTCGGCCCAATATCTACAGAAGGATAGCGACGGCGGCGCGCCGCCGCCCGCGACGCACCGCCGCGACGTACTCTGCTGCGCGCGGGGTCGAGGCGTCGGCGAGGCGCCTGGGCGCGACGCTGGCGGAGCGCAGTGCGGTGGCCGCGCAGCGGGCCCAAGTCGAGGCCAGTATGGCGCGCGGTATGCACGCCGGGCCCGCGGCGCCCAGGCTCGCGGCTGCGCCGCGCTACCTGGGCGCGGGCAACGCCCAGGCGCGGGGGCCGGCGGCGCGGGCCGAGGTCGCCGCGGACAACCCGGCCCTTCTCAAGGCGGCCCGCGCCCGCCTGGTGCCACGCAGACGGCCCAGCATCGGGGCGGTCGCGCCGGGCGCGGAGGAGCTGTTCGACATCCCCCCCGAGGAGGAGCAGCCACTTTGAGCGGGAGGCGTCGGCGGCCGGGGTCCGCGCCGGGCGTCGAGGACCGAGTTATGGCGCCGGCTGGGGATCTCCGCGCGCCGATCTGAAAATCCCGCGCAACGCCCGACGTCGTGCGAAATTGTCGACCGTCGCGCAACACGAAGGACGCGTGGCCTCTGGCGCGCGGCATGGGCTGGAAGACGAGGGATGATGAAGATTGCGGCAGCAGCAGCGAGGAGCGGGGGGGATGCGGGGTGATGGGGGGGAGCAGACGCAGCGAGGACGGGAAGCACGTAGCGCGTCAGCATGGAAGTGATGCGCGGTGCGTGAACGTCGGCACCATGAGCAGAACGAGAATAATGCCTTAGAAACAGACAAGCAACGCGCGATGTATCACACGAGGTACTTACGAACAAATGAAGCAAACCACTAACCAACACATAACAACACATAACCAATTCATAACCAATCTAACCAAACATAACCAAACAAGTGACCAAACCATAACCAGCACATCACCAACACATAACCAAACATAGCCAATACATAACCAAACATAACATAGCCAATACATAACCAAACATGACCAAAGAGCGGCAGGCGCCGCGCAACATTCCATTCCCGACGACTTTACGCAAAGTGGAAGGATGCCCCGAACCAACGCGGCAACGCCATGGTCGCGCGAAATCGCGAAAGTGCCGCGCGAGATTTCGCGCCGCGCGAATGCAACCCCGTGCATTTGGCGCGCAGGCGCGCGGTTTTCCGGACCAGAACACGCCAGCCGACGCATCAGATGCTCTGGAAAGGCGGCGATGAGAAAGTGTTCAGATGCCATATGCGAACTTACAAAAGATTTGCGGATGTAGCCAATTCGTTGCGAGCGCTCAGCCTCGCCCTTTTTTTTCCCTGGCGCGACGGACCTTCCAGGATTTCCCTGAATTGCATCCCATCGTCACTTTCTCTGGAGCCATCGGCCATGCTATCTGCCGTTGCCAGTCAGTCTCAACCCATCTGCCACCGCGCGTTCTTGGGGCGCGCTCATTGCCGCGCGGGACGCCCGAAATCGCGCGCGGCGCCTGCTGGGGGAGAAACTGCCATGCGCGGCGGGGGCTCTCTGAAACACATGCTCTGAGCGCGGTCGGCAATGTCGGCGCGGGAGCTTTTTCGCGGCGCCCGCTGCATTTTCGCTCGGTTCCGGAAGAGTTCGCGCGGGTTTCGGATTTTCAGCGCCCTGCCTGTTGGCCGCGAGAAATTCCAAAATCAGGCACGAGCGTTCTTGGTTCTCTCCCCAGCGCGTCAGCAATTACGCGGCGCGCGAGGCGGCACCTCCGGAACCCGAGTGCCACGAGGCTGTCGCTCCATGGTGGCGCGCGCGGAGGAGCCGGCGAATTGCCCGGTCCAGAGCCAGGAATTCGCGAGAGCGATGATCGAGCAGTCCGGGGCCACGGGCGCCGAGCACAACCGGGGTCAGGGTTTCGAGCCGATTCGCGAGGAAGACGAGGAGATGGCCGTCGCAGAGGCTGAGGCGGGCGTCACGGGCGCCCCCGAGCGGGGCAAGAAGAAGTGAGTAAGGCAATTATGTCGACCCAGGTGCGAGCAGCCGTCAGATGCAAGAAGGCCGCCCGTTAGGATGTTCATCCCGTCTAGGGTTCAGAGTTTGGAAGCTGCGTCGGGCGCGCAGCCCCTGCCGCGCGGGCTCCCTGGCTCGGAGGAGCAGCGCCGCCCCAGACGGGCGTCCGCGAGGGGCCCGTGGGAAAAACAATACATCTCGAGGCCGGCGCCGAGGCCGGCGAGGGCCGTGGCGGGCTTTGATTTTCCGCGGGCCTAGATTGGGAGCGCGCAGGACAGCGTCTCGCTCGCATCGGACCGCGAGGGTTGAAGGCTTGAGAAGGCGAGGTTGAGATCAGTCCATTTGCACCAGACAATGGTTTGTCGAATGGGATCGCTAGTGGTTTAGATGTTCATCGTGAAGGGTTTTGATCGGGGGTGATCAGAGAAACACGTTACTTACGTAGGCTCGCGAGGGCGGACGGCCGAAGAAGGATATGTTCAGATCTGCGAGTGTGCCACGCGCACTATCTGTTGCGGAGGATCGGGAGTGGTGAAGATTTACTTCCAGAAGGCGGGGTCTTGAAGGTTGAAGGCTTGAGACGAGATGTCAAGATCAGCAGGATCGTGAGAGTTTAGACATCCATCGTGCGGAGTTTAGATCGGGGTGTGCAGGACAAAAAAAAGAAAATATTCACACGATCGTGAAGGCTGACGGTTTTGGAAAGCGACATGAAGATCATCATTTGTGCACCGCACGATGATTTTCGCAGAGGATCTTGAGCGGCACAGATTCTGCGTTCGCTAGGGATCGAAATCCGCGCCCCATGGATTGTTGATGATAAGGTTGTAGAGTCTGGGGCCGAGGGCGGGCTTAGAGCTGAGAGCTGGGGGCTTAGGGTTACGGCTTAGGGCCCAGGGGTCAGGTCTCAGGGTTTAGGGCTTAGTGTCTACTAGGCATGCCACGAGTACACCTGGACCGCGAACCCACCTGCGGTGGCCGTCACTCCCACCCGCAAGCGACCCCACCATAAAGATCATCTCTCCCCTCGTTATAACCACATCGAACACAGCGTCGACGACGACGACGACGACGACGGCGACGACTCATGTGCGATCCAGTTGGTACGCGAGTAGTACATGGAGCGGGGTCGCAAGGGGGGCGTAGCACTTTGTGTTGTAAAAACCAAGAGATTCTGCACGCATGCTCAGGAAATGCTATCTCTTGCAGCAGATGGAGCCGGGTCGCAACCCGGGTCGGGCACTTTGTGGTGTAAAATACACAAGATTCTGCACGCATGCTCAGGAAATGTT